CTTTCTCATTATTTGACTTAGTGGGAGCATATACAGGCTAAACAAGAGCGGTGCAAGAATTGAGCCTTGTGGGACTCCACATGTCATGGACGTCCACTTAGACTTATGCTCTCCAATACTCACATAATAACCTCTCCCTTATAAGTATGACCTGAACCATTTGAGTACCATCCCAGAAAGCCCGACCCAGTTTTCCAGCCTTTCTAGAAGTGTTATGATCGACAGTGTCAAACGCAGCACTAAGATCTAGTAGTTCCAGCACTGATATTTTGCCAGAATCAGAATTAAAGCGAATATCATATATTATCTTAATGAGTGCTGCCTCTGTGCTGTGATGTGGTCAGAAACCAGATTGAAAATTGTCCAGGTATCCATTTGAGTTTAAGTTGTTGTTCAGCTGATTAAAAAGTACCTTTTCAATAATCTTGCCTATAAAAGTAAGATTTGATATTGGTCTATAGTTGCTCAATATGGTGTTTTTAAGATTGCTCTTTTTCAGAAGGGGCTTAACAACTGCAGTTTTCAGGGAGTTTGGAAAAGTCCCAGAAAGAAGTGAGACGTCCAAACAGTTAAGCACACTTTTGAAAAAAGATGTGGGAAGTGTGTCAAGATAGCAAGTTGACGAGTTAAGGTGCTGTACTATTTCTTCCAAAAATTTTGCTATCAATTGCTTCAAAAACAGACTGTCTGAATATGGCCAAATATGGTTGTTATCAGATATATATATATATATATATATATATATATATATACATATATATATATATATATATATGTTTTCCCCTTCAAGTAGACAGGAGCTGTAGTTGCATGACTGGAAATAGTTGACAAGACAAGATGGCTAACAAGTGAACTGACTCACATTAGTAATAGAAAGTTTCCTTCTCAGATCAGCATACTTTAGTGGATAATGGACATGATGATAATATGACAACCAAATGTGAGATTCCACCAATTTTTCTATATGTGCACACTTTTCGACCACAATTTCGTACGGATGTTTACTAAACACTTGACATGACAAATACCAGAGACTAAATCATGATAGAACCGGTATATCCTTCCTGATTACATTAAAAAACTCCTACCTTCGCAATGATATAAAGTTGGTAACGATTTATAATGTTTTGACAGTAAAATATGCATAAATGTAAACAAACAGACCCTGTGTGCCACTGTGATGGTAACAAACCTCAGCACTCAAGGGAATTATAGAGTTACCTTCATATGTCTGTGCCATTGAACCAAGTGTTTTATTGGTCAGAAAGCTCCCATAAACATGTTTATATGATTTACCTTGCTCAGCATGATTCTCATGAGAGTAGTTGGCCTGAAAGAGAGAAAGAACACGGTTTATGCTAATGTAAGCTATACACCTCTCACTGGGATTGCATACCTGTATTGTGTTATGAATTGTTGCATTTGCATTCACTTGTGTAGAGCAGGCCTGCGTTTCACGGTAGCCTACATAGGGATTTCCAATAGCTTTGTTTCCAAAGAAACAGGTTGTACGTGTGTAGAAGTGGCTCTAGTGTTGTTAAAATCGGATCTTTCCTACCTGAACTGCCTAGGAAGCTACAACAAGCAACAACAAAATGCGAAAGATTGCACGCTCGGTATGAAATGTTTTGGACTTTTATGCACCAATACGTTGTAACAGCACAAGTCTTTGAGGTACATCAGACGTTTGAGGCTCTTTGCAGCAAAGCAGGACACACCCCACCCGTCTGACTGTCCCCTCCCCCCGTCATCTCGCCCCTCTTCAACACACCTCTCAGGGGAGTTAATTTGTGTTCAACGCATGGAGAGATCAGAGTATGGAGGGGGGCGATTGAGGGTGGGTGATTTTTCCCCATCTTGTTTTCATGTCCAGAGCCAATGCTGTCTGAGCGCCATGTCCGTGTTCAGTCTTTGTTCTGAGAATTTTGAACAGGCCTATCGCTGCACACGAGAGTGCTTTACACGGGCTGAGCAGATTAAAAGACCCTAAGACTCAGCGGAATAGGCAGCTCATGTCTCTGTGTGAAAGTGTTGGATTGGTTTGTTTTACTGCCGCCACACGTGGGTTTGTCTGTCTCGGCTTGATATTGCAAGCACACAATCTGAAGTCAGAGGTTCATGATGTTAAGTGATGTAAAGCTTCTTCATATTATGAAAAGTAAAAATTTTTTTACTATGTTTTTCTGAACTTCTTGGAGTGTAAATAACATGGTATATAAACGTGGACCCCTAAACCTACATAGTAGTTGTCAGTGTAGGACACCATGGTATTATCATCATGGTTAATACCATAGTGCTTTTTGGTATTGTAAAAGAGCTCTTCCCTTATGAAAGACAAAAATATATGGGAATGTACTTATAATGCAATATATTAAACAATGCATTTCAACATATGGGAACTAGTGCTTATATTGTATATACTTATATTGATAAATGCATGGACTTGTAAGGCAAGGCAAGTTTATTTATGTAGCACATTTCATACACAAAGGTAATTCAAAGTGTTTTACATAAAAAGGAATTTAAATAGTCACAAGATATACAAATAGAAAATTAAAATGATTAAAATGATTTAAAATTGTACTAAAAATGAATTCATTATCAGAATATGCACGAATTATAAAGAATAATGAATTATAAAGAACTTATTACAAGAATTATACTCATGCATATAAAATATATAACAATGAAGTCAATGAAGAGCACATATTCATTTTTCTCACTTTATTGTTTACATAGTTATACATTTCATATACGAAAATATGTTATGGTATATAAGAAAAAAGTGTCTACTGAAAATCAATTTTATGATTTTTGAACAATTGGATGACTATATATCCATATTTATGTATTTCAAGTCTATTTATACACACATAGTACCAAATTTATATTTTGAAATGTATTATTGAATGCATTACAATATACAAGTATAAATATATTGTCACATATTATTCAATGAATGAAAAGCAGCAATTCCTTATGTATTATTTAATGTATTGTAATATTTTAACATGATATGTTATTCTGTATATTTTCAATATACATTAAATTATTTAATGTATTGATTGTTACTATATAGGGAAATATGTGTAAGAGTTCCTTACCATGGTTTCACCACAGTACGTTTTTGTTAAGGTCAGATGAGCAGTAAGGGAAACAGATGCTCAGTATTGAATCAAGCACACAAAACCCCTCTCCTCTTAGTGTTTTATTTTGCATATGACATAACAGAAAGGGAAGTTGCGCTTCATTGCATCACTGGGTCTATTCTAATGCACAACCAGGATGTGTGGTTTGTGATAGACAAAACTTTGTTCCTCTCAGTGATGTGCTTTGAACAAAGTTGTTGTTACACATGGCGCACAATATAAGTGTCACTTTCCATCCGCTTAGCACTCTGTCATTTATCAGCTTTCATTTGAAATATTCTCAACTGTTTTTCTTCTGGACCCAGATTTTATATTGGGAATGAAGTGGTGACCCAACACAGAATGTATTAATATTACAGTGAGCCAATAATTCACCACATAAAACAAAATTAGTCTCAGTTTTATTATGAATATTTCGTTGCATATCGCACAACCTGTCCATATAGCTTCTACACTCTAAAAAATGCTGGGTTAAATATAACCCAATGCTGGGTTAAAAAGGGACAAACCCAGCTATTGGGTTGTTTTGACCCAGTGGTTGGGTTGCTTTGAACCCAACCACTGGGTCAAAACAATCCAACTGCTGGGTCAAAACAACCCAATAACTGGGTTTGATCTAAACCACAGCCTTAAAAAGTTTCTGTCTATTTATTTGTCTATTCTAATTATACACAATTAGTGTATATGGCGATTTTTTTCCTTTGTACCCATCAGCACAATTCTTTGACCTACCAGTTGAGAACCACTGTCAAGAATTTTCTAAAGCCCGTAATGCCGTTTGTTCTAATTAATTCTGTTGATTTTCATCTTCAATTAAGGATTTGTGAAAACATATGGTAGCACTTTTAGATTTTTGTAGTTCAGTGTCTGTGTGAGTCATGCTGTAAGACCTATTAACAGCTCACAGTCTTCGGTTCTTCTCTCGCACCTCCTGCCAGTTAAATTCAGCTCATTAGCACCGAGCGGCAATCAGGGGAGCGATGCATTACAGGCCCTGGCATGGTGGGAGATCAAATGGTAGTCCATCACTAAAAGCTCTCGTTTGAACTCGGGGTATATCTCTTTTTTTATGACATCGAAAAAAGATGAAGACAAATGCACTGTGCATTCTTGTATGTAGGTTGCTTTCACTCCAAATGCCTTGCAGAAGATTGAATATGTGTCAGGTGGTGCTAAGCAAATTCGAAAGTAGCCAAAATGTTTGAGGCTAAAATATGCCCCTGAGATCTCAAATGCCTCTGGCCTGGAGATATTTTGTCCGTTGGATGTTTAGAGTGTGATAAAGTGCTTGGGAACTGTTTTATCGCATTGGTGTTCATTTTGCCTTTCCTCCTGTACAGTTACAGCCCCTCTGAGAGCTGTTACACTCACCGGTTACAAGATCGTGCAATTCTTCCAGGCGCACTTACATTTACGGGAAGATGGTATTGAGATGTACGGTGCAGCACACTCAGGCTTTGATGTGTGGCTCCTTTCATGTGTTTGTCAGAGCCTGTGCTTGGCATGTGTGTTTTTCCATGCAGGCCGGAACGATCCTGCATACTCGCTAACAATTGCTCCCTGTTTGACTAGAATGAGAGATGACTGAATAATCAATTATCAGAGTGAACTCTGAGCACTGGCAGGGGAACGAAGTGTAGAATATTAAAAATGTCAATTCTGGATATTTAGTCATTGCAACAAATGATGCTTTGATTTGTTTGTGTGCTCTTAAGGAGAGCAGAAATTCCAGTCTTTGTTTAATATTCCTTCCGCAACTGATGCTAATAAATATCGCATCTAAAGTTTGCACTTGGCTGACATCATATAAACTGCATGATTTATATACCTTCTTTCTTTTTCATTTTGCAGGGCTGGATGAGAAAATTCCTGTCTTCCATTTCGTAGAAATCTTCCCTCCAACTGTCAGCTACCTACTGGGTGCAGCACTCTAGAGATCTTCAATATGGAGAGAACTGCCATTTCCTCTTCACTGCTCGCAGTCTGTTTCGTTTTGGCTGTGTGTCGCTGTTCCCTTGCAGCTCCCTTCTGCCCTGCCCAGTGTGTCTGCGAGACCCGCCCATGGTACACGCCTCAGTCGGTCTACCACCAAGCCAAGACTGTTGACTGCAACGAGCTCCATTTGAGCAAAATCCCATGGAATATTTCAGTCGATACTCAGGTGCTGCTTCTTCAGAGCAACAATATCTCCAGGGTAACCTCAGAACTCCAGAGCTTGGTAAACATTACAGAACTGGATCTCTCCCAGAACCACTTCACACAAATCCAAGACGTTGGCTTGAGTAACCTAAGCCAGCTGGTCACACTTTACCTTGAGGAAAACCAAATTAAAGAGCTGCCTGATATGCGTCTAAAGGACCTAGTCAACTTAGAGGAGCTTTATATTAATCATAATCAGATATCTTCTATTGGTCCTAATGCGTTTTCAGGCTTGGGGAACCTGTTGAGGCTTCACCTTAACTCCAATAAGCTTGTGGCGATAGACAGTCATTGGTTTGAGTCCCTACCCAACCTTGAGATCCTAATGATAGGGGAAAATCCCATTCTCGGAGTGCAAGATATGAACTTCCACCCCCTCTCTAAATTGCACAGCTTGGTTCTCGCGGGAATGGGGCTCAGGGAAATACCCGAGGGTGCTTTCCAGGGATTGGACAATCTCGAGAGTCTCTCGTTCTTCGAAAACAAGCTCACGGCCGTGCCAAAGAAAGCCCTGAGCGTTCTGCCGAGCCTCAAGTTTCTCGACCTTAACAAGAATCCCATTGTCCGTATACAGGAAGGTGACTTCCGAGACTTTCCCCACTTAGAGGAACTCAGTCTGAACAACATGGATGAGCTTGTGGCGGTTGAGAGGGGCGCGTTCTCTAACTTACCACAAATGGCCAAATTGGAGCTCTACAACAACCCTCACCTGTTCTTCATAGACCGAGCCGCTTTCCTGAAAATGCGTGGCATGCGCACCTTACTGTTCCACAGTAACGACCTCATGCTTTTGCCCCATGAGATTTTTTCAGCTTTCCCCAGTCTGGATGAAATCAGTCTTCATGGCAACCCACTCAGGTGCGATTGTCTCGCCAACTGGTGGCCCGTCCTGGGCAACCAATCAAGCCTCAAAGTTCTGGAGCCCCAAATAACTCTTTGTGCCTCCCCGCCACATCTTGTTGGCCAATCCCTTCAGGAAGTGGTATCTGCAAGTTGGAATGGGGCAAGCAATACCTGCCTGCCTCTAATTTCTCAGCAAGCCTTCCCGCCGCAGCTCAACGTCACCTTAGGACAGCTTCTAACGCTCAACTGCTGGGCCGTGGCAGATCCAGCACCTCAGTTTTACTGGGTGACACCCACCGGAGACAAAGTCACTTCTGAAGCTGTTTCACCGTCCTCGAATGATGGAGGAGGAATACCGAAGAAGCATCGGATGCAAGAACAAGGTGCTCTAGAGATCCCACATGTTGAACCCGAGGATGCTGGTCTCTACACGTGTGTTGCTTGGAATGCAGAGGGAGCCGACACCCGGAGTGTCTCTGTGTATGTGGATAGGAGCAACTGGCATGGTGGGCACCCTATTGGAGCTCATCAAGGGGTGCTGAACACCACGGGATCCTTGGTAATCCTTGCAAAAATCGTCCATGCCCAGTCTGTGGTGCTCGAATGGAAGGTGCACCCATCCGCCGCCTCTTCCAACCATGAGGTGTCACAACCCAAGTGGCTCAGCGCTACGGTAAAAATCGACAACCCGCAGATCAGCTACACAGCGATGGTCCCCGTAGATGTCCAAGAGTATAACCTCACACACCTCCTGCCTTCCACGGAGTACCAAGTTTGCCTGACCATGGCTGGTACCGAGCAGACCCAGCACTCTTGCATTAACGTGACCACCAAAGAAGCCAGCTTTGCTGTGGAGATGGTTGCCCAACCGACCAACGTAGCCCTGGCGGCGGTCATGGGCTCAATGTTCGCCATCTGCATCATGGCTCTGTTGGTGTTCTACATGGGACGCCGCATGAAGCAGAAATCTTGTCACCACTCTCTCAAGAAATACATGCAGCACACCACTTCCATTCCTCTGAACGAACTCTACCCACCACTTATTAACCTCTGGGAGAATGAGACGGAAAAAGAAAAAGAGGGCACCGCTGACCCTCAGAACTCACAGATAGACACTTCAAAAACATACATGTGGTAGCTGCACGGCAGAAAGTATATAGAAGAGACATTTTAAACAGTATCTGTACTGTCTTGTACATAAACGAGAATTATGTATTATTGATTTGTCATTGTGAAAGACATATGTATTTTTAGATTGTACCCTTCAATGCCAAGCACACTTGGTTGCAGTTGTGATTTGTTAGACAGCCAACAGACGTGGGCAGCAAAACACACTCTATGCTTTTGCATTGCATTGTATTTTCTGAGACTAATTTAACGTTAAGCATGCCAATGTGTTAATAATTCATATAATTTATTCATTCTATATCAGCACTAAGCAACCTACTACACTAACACAGATCAACACTATTTATATCGCCTCACACATATCAAATGCAGTCATACATGACATCCGATTCTGGAGTTTTTGCATGGAATTTTTTGCATGATATTTTGGTGCTAACAGGGAGTTTTTTTCCTAGTTGTCTCACTTCTAAAAATACCCAGGCGTGAGAAGGTGACGTACGCGTGCTCGTTGCTCTCATTTGTCTTCAGCTCGTCACATTTTATCACCTGCATTGTAATGAATATAAAACCTAAACCAAACCTGCCAGGTGCTATGAAGTTGCTGTTACTGCAAACTAATTAGCTGGCATATGTAATTAATATCTGGAACACAACTGCGCAGCTGTGCTTATTTATTCTTGCATTGTTAAATAACTATTTATTGAGGAGTGTGTAAAAATGGCTGTGTTTATTAGCACTGACTGAAAAATTTATTTCATATTTGATAGAAAAAGAAATCATTAGACTATAACGATCATGTGGTTCAAACGCCTGACATTTACTTGCAGACATTCACCATTGCTAACAATGATGGGGCCGTTCTATGCGCTTGCCGTTTTGATTACCGAGAGATTGCTTCAGTTCTCAGTTAAACATGTTGCCAAACTCAATATTCACACAATTCAGTCTTGGTGTGGTAAATTAGGTAACAAGTGTGTGTAGAGAATGAGAATTGAATCGAATAAGAATAAAAAAAGAATCAATGTTGTTTTTCTCCTCACATAGATTAATTAATCCTTAAAATACAAAAGGACCATGAAAACAATATTTAATTCATTTTTAAGGTTTTGACATGTTTAAACCTGTGAGATTTGTGCATAATCCTGCATCATATCGATTAATACAAATGTTATGCAAAACACATGCTCATGTATTGTTGTTCTGTTGTGTAGGCCTATCAGCAACTGACATGTATCCAGGTATTGATGAATATAACCAAATTAAATCATATATTAAGTGTTCAACGGTTTACCTTTACAGGTGCACTCAGTAATTTTTTTAAATGTTGCAACCCTAAAGAAACAATTATTATTTCTGAAAAACATTAACATTAAATAGACTCCAATCATATTGGTAGCTAAATAAAAGCTTTTTTTAAATTTCAAATGGACATCACATGACCAGATGTAATCACCAGTTAAACTACTAGTTACTTTATTGTGAATCTGTACCTGTTTTCTGATACTGTCGCTCACAGGATTCTTCATTTATTGTTGACGACTGTGACTAGTGCATTTCTCACAATCTGAATACTTTAGCATGATGCTGCATTCACATTGCTAAATGTCAGTGTACTGTAAGTCCAATAAGACCATCAGTGCAACATAAACAAATGAAAAAGATTACTGGGTGCACTTCTGTTATGTATTATTTGAACCAAAGATGAGACACATATTCAATAGTTCTCTCATCACTGTCATCAGTCAGTGAGATGTCATGGTATATTTAGCTCTGAAGGACAGTGAGGGAAACTATCGATTATATATTTGAACACGGTGGTATTTTATGATGGATTTTATTTTAGTTTCTAATTTAAGGGGTTAGAAAATGCAGTCAAGTTCATACAGACAAGGTCTAGAATTGACATGTGAGCAGTCAGTTCTAATGTGAAATGTTGTTCGTACTCACGTCACATGTTTTTAAGATGTTCTTTCATCACTGACTGTAAATCACATTGTGTGTTATTACTGGCAGAAGAGCAGAGAAAATGTCACCTTAGATTAAGCATTAAATGTATCACTACAGCTCTGTCCTCTAGTGGTGGAGAACACTAAAGACGTCTTACACGATTTACTAGTATCTCAGTGAATAGCAGGGTATTTTGTAATAGAGGAATATTATTGTTATATTTCAATTAAGTCAACAATAATGGTTTTACACTGTTAAGACGTGTTGTGACGTCCGTGCGCAGTAGTTCAGGAAAAATGACTGTCTGAAGAAACATTTGAGAGAAATAAACACTATATCACCACAACTATACAGCTTCTCTTTGTTGTTTTCTCTTGAAGATGACTCTTTTTGTACAAACACTCTTAGCAGATATCTAAAACTGTGCTTTGCTCTCTTGCTTGTTTTCTTTTAGATTTGGTTTTTAAGTTTCCCCTTGAGGGACTAGATCACTAAATATGACACAGTGTACAATATACAGTATGTACGTATAATGCTATATGTAAGAATTTTTCAATGGAAATATTAACACATTACACAGTTCCACCTGACGAGATACGTTACCCCAACATAATTAACCATTCATAAAATGGGTTTTAAACTTTTCTAAATAATAACATATACCTATAGTTAAGTTATATACCAAGATATCAATTCAGAAATGTATGAAATAAACCATTTTGTTCTATTGAGAAGCATTCTTTCAAAGGTTTATAAGTACTGAAGATGCTTTTATTGTCTTTTGCCACTGTTTTTGAAATATAAAATGTCAGCGCTATTCTATTTGATTCTTTTTAGTGCTGTTGAGTAATTGAAACACACAGAGCAACACAAAACTGGTTGAGGTATAAAATAACATTTTATTAATTTTCAAACATAGAATGTAAGGTGCAATGGCTTGTGCATCTGCAGTGTTTGTTTTTAAAATGGCAAGAAAGTTAATATGAAGCACAACTGTTTCAGTGTTTTTACTACTGTACTGTAAGCTAGAATAACAAGTGAACACTGGCATACATTTGAACACACTGACCAAAATTAAAATAGGAATGTTATTGCAGACCACAAAATAGGAAAGGAGCCAGCATTTATTTAAAAGAAAGACAGTACATGCACATCACTTTTCTTTTACTATATAGATATTTTGTTCAGAAATATGTTCATTACAAAAGTAAAATCGATTGCAAATGTTTCACATTGACTTTAAGCTTAATGGGTTAAACCTCATTATAGGGTTATACTTTGAAATAATATCGTAACCCTCATAATGCAAATAACGCAAAATCTGTATATTATTTTTATATTCAGATTTTTTATGCTGCAATGGCATCAAACTTCAGTCTCAAAAGTGGGTGAGAGATGGGGAAAAGGCTAGATATATTTTATAAAAGTATTGTGACACTAATATATCTTCATAAATCATTTTACAAAAAGTGTTTTTGACAAGTAATAGTACTTCGTACCTGGGTCCAAAATGATCCCAACGTGAAACATGTAAAAAAAAGTCTTAAATTATAATGAATGTGTATTTTAAGTATCTTAAAGCATTTGCAAAGTTTTGTTCCCTTACTAAAAACTATGTATTTTAAAACATGTTATGTCACTTAAACTGTTACGTCTCTTATCTGTCAAAATGGACCCCAATGCATTATGAAGGTTAAAATATGCACAGCAAAAATAATAAATAGGCCTAAATAAATAAATAAAAATAAGTTGTAAGTAAAAGAAAGATTCTTGGAGTATGTTTTACAAGAAAATACTATTTAAGTGTTTCTGCTTCAAAATGTCACGTTTAATTTGTCATTTTTTATTTGTGAAATTTACTAGCAATTTCAAGAGTGAGAATTGAATCTTTTTTTTTTTTTTTGCTTTTTTTCATACTTTTGCTTATACAGTGTGAAACATGGGTTTTACCCATTTGAACTGCTTCCAAGATTAGCACATGGTAAAGCGAGTGATGCAGTGATTTGAATGCCACTCTCACCATTTTATTCGGGTTTAATAAACACTCATAAGAAACCGATTAGAGGCAATAAATACTAGAGGTGGACTCTAGTTACTGGACCATAAAGTGCTGACCAGCAAACAAAACACACGAATGAATGAATGAACAATTCAACTGACAGCTTCTGAAGCAGAGGCGGAACCAGCAGCGAGACGGAAATGACGTGCGGTGTCGTCAGCTGTATGTTGACGTTGTGTGGCAACAGCAGGACCGAGGGACGGAAGACGGTTTGTTTTTGTTCTGTTATCCGCCGTTTTTACCCTCAAAACCGCCTCATATTGAATTCAATTCGCTCCGGGGTGACAGGAGCCAGTATTACTACTTAAAAGACGCTCAGGTTTAAATGTTCAAACGCGTTCAGGGTCGTTAAAACGGACACCCTCCGTCCCTGAACGGTCATGACGATCCTGCCGAAGAAGAAGCCGAGCTCATCGGTCGGTGTGTCTGATCACCCCGATGACACCGACCGCAGGACCGGATCCGATCCGCACCAGCACTCCCACGGGGTCCGGCCGGGTGCGAGGCCCCGCGCTTCTCCGCCTCCCTGGTCATATCAAGCCGCTCCGCCGCCGTCCAGAGACGACAGGCGCACTGAATCCAGCTCCCGGCCGCAGCAGGCCTCTCCTCCGCCGGTGGGCGCCGGGTCTCCGGTTGGCCCGGGGGATGCGACGGGGATGGCGTGCGTTTCCGGGGGTCGGGCTGAGCTGTCAGGGGGGGTGGGCTGTGGAGGTGGGATGGGAGGGTGCTGCTCGGGGCCTGGGCTCAGTAAGAGGAGGAGACAGGCGACCTGCTCCGGTGGGGTGGCCGGTGGAGGGACCGGACCCGGGGCGACGGGGGGTGGAGGAGGCGGAGGAGGAGGGGGTCCCAGTCCCGAGCAGGAGGAAGGAGCCGGGTATAACAGTGAGGATGAGTATGAAAATGCTTCCAGAGTACAGTCAGAGGACCCAGCGACTGTTGAACAGGTATGTGGATGGATGATGTCACCTCACAACCATATACAGCATGTTGATTTTGATTTAAAAATATTACACGTGTTCTGCTTCTGACACTGTTTAGACACTAGTATAAATTGATAGAAAGAAAGAAAAACAGAACAATAGATAGTTTGGTGGATGGACAGACTGACTGACAGCTTGGTAGATAGACTGTCAAATAAATAAGTAGGCAGATAGATAGATAGATAGAAGGATTGACAGATAGAACAATACCCGGGGCGACGGGGGGTGGAGGAGGCGGAGGAGGAGGGGGTCCCAGTCCCGAGCAGGAGGAAGGAGCCGGGTATAACAGTGAGGATGAGTATGAAAATGCTTCCAGAGTACAGTCAGAGGACCCAGCGACTGTTGAACAGGTATGTGGATGGATGATGTCACCTCACAACCATATACAGCATGTTGATTTTGATTTAAAAATATTACACGTGTTCTGCTTCTGACACTGTTTAGACACTAGTATGAATTGATAGAAAGAAAGAAAAACAGAACAATAGATAGTTTGGTGGATGGACAGACTGACTGACAGCTTGGTAGATAGACTGTCAAATAAATAAGTAGGCAGATAGATAGATAGATAGATAGATAGAAGGATTGACAGATAGAACAATGAATGGATGTATGATATATTACAGAATAGTTACAGAGTGATAGATAGATAGGCAGAAGGAAGGATATATAGATAGATAGATAGGCAGAAGGAAGGATGGATAGATAGATAGAAGGATTGACAGATAGAACAATGAATGGATGTATGATATATTACAGAATAGTTACAGAGTGATAGATAGATAGGCAGAAGGAAGGATATATAGATAGATAGATAGGCAGAAGGAAGGATGGATAGATAGATAGAAGGATTGACAGATAGAACAATGAATGGATGTATGATATATTACAGAATAGTTACAGAGTGATAGATAGATAGGCAGAAGGAAGGATATATAGATAGATAGATAGGCAGAAGGAAGGATGGATAGATAGATAGAAGGATTGATAGGATTGACAGACAGAAGGATAGACAGATAGAACAATGAATGGATGTATGATAGATTACAGAATAGTTACAGAGTGATAGATAGGTAGATAGATAATGAAATGGGGGATAGATACATTAAATGTGGATGGATAGACATTATCAGATAGACAGAAAAACAATATATATATATATAGAGAGAGAGAGAGAGAAATGTATTGATATTGATATTGATTGTATAAGTGAAGATGCATAATGTCAGTGACATCAGATGGCATGATAAATTATAGAAGACTTAAGGCAGTTTTATATGCTGTGCCCTGCATTAATTGCTTTGTGTCTCAGTATAAGATGCGATACATGATTAGACTGCAC